CAGTTAATAAGATGAGTCCGCAAGTCGAGATGTTAATTTTAACGTGTTCTCCTCGAGAAAGAAAGGAAGTCCCTCCCGGTGCCCTTCTGTCCACCTCTGGTGGGTGAGCCCCTGCCTCAAGGGCACCCCCACCCTCTCCCTGAAGGTGAAGTGCAAGGCAGTGTCCCAGGGCCAGGCCACAGGCGGGAGGAGTGCCCGGGGTTTTGGGTGCTCCAGCCTGAGGTCACCCCAGACGGCAGGGCAGGAGAGGGGTGCCCACAGAGGAGGCCAGCTGAGATATTCTAGGAAGTCAGCCCAGAGATTTTCCAGGAAGCTCGGGAGCCACTTCCGCGGGCGCTTTGCATAAATTTACATGGCAGAGAATTTCCTTCCCGTGCTGTGTTCCTGAGGCTCTGACTCCCCGGAGACCAGAAGGGGGAGGGGTGATGCAGGCCTTCACCTGCTTTCTGACAGGCTGGAAGGGGCTGCGAGGACGGGTGAGGCTGGGGTCGCCGTCTCACGCCCAGGATGACCAGGTGTCCTGGTGTCCGGGACTGAGGGTGTCTCTGGAGGCAGGAATCTCAGTGCTGGTCACTCCCTTGGACAGTACCCGCCGCTGCACATGCTGTCGCGTTCCGTGTCAGGGCATGTGACCACCATTGATTGAGCACCAGTCACCAGTGTGCCCCGTGTGTCCAGGAAAATCTCCCTTCAGGTGGCGACAAAGAGGAGACAGTATAGGGGAGTCCATTTTCGGGGGTGGACAGTCAGCATTCTGCCCCCCTAGCATCTCTGCCCGGAGGTGACTACCCACCCATCCTCAGTGACTCAGAGGCGCGCCAGCCCTGTCCACATCACAGGCTGTCGGGCTGTCTGTGGAGGCCAGACTCACCGGACAGCTGTCAGGACAGTGGGGACCAGGAAGGGGTCAAGGGCTGCAGGTGGGGCTCAGCCTCCCGGCCCGGAGGAGGGAGGTCAGTGTGGGTGGGCAGTCAGAGAAGAGGCCCCAGAGGAGTTGGGGTACCGGGGTACTGTCACACAGGGCAGGGGAAGAGCTTGGGGATGTCTGAGCTGGGAAGTGGTGGGAGGTGCACGGGGAGGGGCCGGGCGGGAGGGCAGAGGGAGCATGTAGGTAGCCATCTCAAAGGAGAGTTCACTCAGTTTGCTCCTATTGATTCTTGGGAGCCTGCAGAACTTAGGGAGAGGTGTTCTTGCTAGCCAGAAGCTGAAGAACTTGGGACAGGATGGAGTGTGGGGGTGAGGGGGTGTCCCCAGAGCAGGGAAGACTGGCCCAGGAGCAGGGGGAGCTGGGAGAAGCTGTCCCAGGAGAGAGAAGAGTGTCATGGATGCTGGTATTGACCAGAGTAGGTGGGCTTTGGGTCAAATCAGATCCATGCTCCCCCACATATTGGAGCAAGAGAGGCCCCCTGTTCTTCCCCAGCCGGGACTTGGTCCTCCCCGGAGAGCGGGGGATCTGACTGGCTGGGCCTGAGCCTGGAGCGCCCTCAGACCACCTCCGACCTTCGTTGCCCTGGCATCACCGGAAGCCTTGCAGCCAGGGCTCAGCCAGGCTCAGCCACAGCAGGGCGTGGGCCCTGAGCTGCTAGAGGAAGGGCAGGGCCAGAGCCAGGTGCAGGAACAAGGGAGAGAATGGATCCCGCCCGCCTACAGTGAGCCGCCTGCGGGGCCCAGGGACAAAGGACACTCCCGCTGGTTTACTTTGGAACCCGAGGCTGCCTGGCTGCTGGGGAGCAGGGGCCTTGGTCTGGAATCTGGTTTCAGAAGCCACTCAACCCCAAGGGCCCTTCCTGAGACCCAGGGCCCCATCCTCAGGGCCTCTTTACTAATGTATCGAGCAGTGTGTTATAGCAGCGGGTCGGTGGGTATTGTAATCTTGAAGTATCGACGAGCACAGTCTAGATACCTGTCGTGCCTGTGCGGGACAGGGACTTAGCCTCAGTGTCTAGTGGCTGTGGGTACTGCTAAGCACTTCCATTTTGCTACCTGCATTCATAAGGGGAGGAAGCGCTAAATTTCAGGAAGAGGTTAATGAGAGTGAGATGCACTCTGCCCCGCCTCTCTCCCCTCCTCTCACCCCCCACCCCCGAATTCTTTCCCCATCCCTGTGAGAGTTCTGTTAGGAGCTAGTAAACTACAGGGAGAAGCAAAGCTAATCTGTGCTCTTAGCAGTCAGAATAAGGGTTACCCTTGGTGAGGGAGGGTAGTTAGTTAGTAATGGGAGGGGAACCCATCTGAAGGGCTGGGAGCAACTTATTTCTTGACCTGGACGCTAGTTACCAAGTTGTTCGGTTTGGAAATTCACCCACCTGTTCACTTAGGATCCGTTCACCAATCTGCAGGAATAGTTGATTTCAATACAAATTTTAAGAACATCTTTCCTGCCCTGGCCGGGCGACTCAGTTAGTTGGAGAGTCGTCCTGGACACCGAAAAGGTCACAGGTCAGTTCCTGGTCAGGGCACATGCCTACATTGCAGGTTTGATCCCTGGTCAGGGCACGTTCAGGAAGCAACCAATCGGTGTTTCTCTTCTCTCTCTCTCTCTCTCTCTCTCTAAAAAAAATCAATTAAGAAAACATCCTTGGGTGAGGATTAAAAAGAACAACAAAACCACCTTCACTAGAACAGACGTACATGCAGGTGTGAGCTTGCGCGCACGTATACACACACACACACACACCCCGGTGTGTACCGGTCAGCCTCTGCAGGTCCATGACATATGCGTCTCTCCAGATCCGTTGCAGGCGTGTGGACGCAGATGGATAGAGTGAGCCAGAGGCAGAGACACTATTTTTAGGAAATAATGCCAAGCAAAGAGGAGGTTTCCCGATTAACGGGTCTAGTGGTGGCTCCCGGTGGCAGGGACTGCCTTGCATCCAGGCGGACTTTTTTGTTGTTTTTTTTTTTGTTTTAGTAAAAAGAATACTGACTTTATTGTTCTCCTAAAAATAGTACGCGATCACCTTCAATAACTCAAGCACTGAAGAAAAGCACAAAGGTGGTTATTTACAGTGACCCCCATTTCCACAAACTGAGAAAAGAGCGCGCCATTTCCATTCAGGGACGAGGTCATGCCTGCTGTGTTCGAAGGTGGAAGGTACACAGATCCATGCTCTCATCCACAGGAACCTGCCTCCTCACCTGCGGTCTTAACCAGGAGGCTTCTCTAACTCGACTTGGATGACAGGGGGCTGGGGGAGAGGGTGGTTGCAAAGCGGAGGTCCCCGGACCTCCAGGCCCTCCTCCACCGGCCGCACACACTCCGGTCTGCGCTTCCCGGGGAGTGGAGGCGCCCTGGAGAGGCCTGCCTGTGTGGTGTCTGCTCGCTGGCCAGGTGCCCAACTCACAGCGATCCACAGCGCTTGGGGCTGGGCGCTTGGAGGGCTGCGTGTGGGGTCCCTGGGGACAGGTTTCGCGGTAGTAAGATCAGGGCCACGCTGGCCCTTGGGTGACAGAGAAGGATTCTGCCCTGGCAGCAATCTCCAACAGGTGCCCGCCCTGCCCTCGGAGCCGGTGCTGGCCGTTCCCGGGGCTGATGTAATTAGCGACACCGCTTCCCGGCCGTGTCCCCATCAGGAGCTGTGCCGGCCACATCCTGTTTTGGTGGGACAGTCGGGAGCGCATTCCTTGGTCGCTGTGTCATGGGTAGAGCATGTTCACACCAGGTCCTGGATCATTTGAGGCCACCAGGGGCCACATTCTCCTGGCCGGCTGCACGACCTAGCGGATGAGTGGCCACTGTTTTCTGGTTCTGCTGTCACTTGGGATCAGCCCTCCTTTGTTCAGAATCGGGGGGGAGGGGTGTGCCTAGCGGAGGCCTGAGGCGCCTGAGGTGCTCCATCAGCATTTCCCGTCTTTGCAAGGATGCCTCACCGTAGGGATTTCATGGCAATCTTCTCAGCAGGGCTCCTCAGCAGCTGCGTACCCCCCCGCATGCCAACATCTGGATGACAACTCCAAACGTGTTATCCAGCTGTTCCCAGAAGCCAACACAGGATTTGCCTGGGTCTCTTGGCGGACACAGATGCCCCCGCCTGTTGCCAGATGTTGGCACCTCCAGGCCTCACGTGAAGTCTGGGCCCCCTCCCCCAGGCAGGCCCGTGGTGGCGTGGGAAGATCAGACAGAGTGTCCCCCACTCTGCGACCCACCGCCCTGGCTGGAAAAGAAGCCCAGAGTGTGGGCTTCGGTCCGGGAGGCGTCTGATCACCCTCCCAGGCCTCCAGGGTTTCCTGTGGAAGGGAGAAGCTTGAGAGGGGGCTGCACTGGACCTTCTAATGCCCTGGCCCCTCACCGATGTGTTCTTTTTATCACTCAGTCCATCATTCATTGGTTCAGGACCAGCCCTGCTAGAGATCTGAGATAAAGAGAGGGCAGGCCCGCCCCTGCCCCCCTGGGGTGTCCCTCTCGGTCCACAGCCTGTCACATAGTTGTGGGAAGTGTCTCAAAGTGCACTTGGGCCCAGCCGCGGTGGCTCGGTGGTTGAACATCGACCTATGAACCAGGTTACGTGCCCAGGTTGCGGGCTCGATCCCTAGTATGGGGCATGAGTGAAGCAGCCAATCAATGATTCTCTCTCATTGATGTTTCTCTCTCTCTCCCTTCCTCTCTGAAATCGATAAAAATATGTTTTTGAAAACATTTTAAAAAGTGCGCTTGGAGAAGGAGCCAACAGGTGCCAGTTCCCTCTGTGCCGAGTGGGGCAGAAAGAGGAGCTTCGGTGACGCCAATCACTCTTGCCCACTTGCACCCAGACGTGCTCTTTGGGGTGTGAGGAGTGACGTCCTGTCGGTCCCTGTGCACACCCACAGCCTGGAGGGCCCCGGGCTTACCCAGGCCAGCGTCCACCAGGTGTGCCCGCGGAGAGGCTGGGCCTGGTCTGGCAGCATCTCTGCTCACCGTGCCCTTCCCTCCGCCAGCACTGCAGCTCCCCCGCAGGTCCGCCACCCTGCCCTCTGGCCCTGGGCGTGGCGTCAGGCCTGGCGTCTGTGTCTTCCAGCTTCCCCGCAGGCGGCCGGAGGACAGCCTGGGCCCCAGAAGCAGGATGAGAAGATGGCAGACGTCCTGGTACCTCGGGGCCCCAGCAGCTTCCACAGGTTCACCCGGGAGTCCCTGGCGGCCATCGAGAAGCGCATGGCGGAGAAGCAAGCCCGGGGCTCGGCCACCCTGCAGGAGAGCCGGGACGGGCTGCCCGAGGAGGAGGCTCTCCAACCCCAGCTGGACCTGCAGGCCTCGAAAAAGCTGCCGGACCTGTACGGCAACCCGCCCCGAGAGCTCCTCGGGGAGCCCCTGGAGGACTTGGACCCCTTCTATAGCACCCAAAAGGTGACTGTCGCCCCCCCAACCCCCGCCCACACTTCCCCACGGCAGTTGGGGACAGGGCCTTGGCATCACACTGGGCTCTTTGGGGCGGGCTCCTCTGGGCGCTGGGGGAGTGAGTCATCGGTGATCTATATTCCAATCACCTTCCTTTTGGAGTTCCAGAATAAAAGGCCAGACAAATGCAGCCCGGGATTGTTTGGTGTTAGGAGGAAAGAGAGGGCAGCCACGGTGACAGTCTTGCTACCCGGTGGAGTCCCTGCGTGGGGAATTGTCTGGGGTTAGCCTTCACCTGCGGAGCTCTGCACCCCATCCCCATGGTGTGTGTGAGCTGGAGGCGGGCCCTGAGTCCTGTCCTGAGTTCAGTTTGGGCCCCAGAGCACGGCGTCCCCACCCCTCACTGGGGACGGTGGGCAGCCTCGGAGGACCCACTGGGCCTTGGCTGGCAGTGGGACCAAGCTGGCCGGTGGGAAGTCTGAGAGGGGTGGCCGTGGAGGCAGCCTTGACATAAACGACGGAC